AAATTGGTGTGAAAACTTTGGGGTGATAATAATAAATACTATGCCACGGCTTATCATTCTAGCTACAAGGTGATTATGATTAATAGCCGCAATCACCCTAACTTCTGAAACTGCTGCACGATAGCAAAAAGAGTCTGTTATCAGTTCTGAAGCTGCACTTTTTCTTTTTCTTTTTAAAATTGATTTATTTATTTATGAAGCACTGGGGTACAGTCAGAAGCGTGGGAGGGTGAGACAATTCACCAGAGACAGAGTGGAGAGCCGAACTGGCAGATCGACTGAAATACGCTGCTGAGGGGAGCAGCGGGCGGCAGGAGAGGTCTGCGCGCCATGTGGGACCCTCGCTGGTGGCCGGGGATCGAACAGGCCCTTGCAGAAGCTGCAGGCAGCTTCACAACCCAGCACTCAACCGCTGCGCCACCAGGGAGGCCCTGAAGCTGCAGGGAGACCCTGAAGCTGCACTTTTTCCTGGAGCCCTGTGAGGGGTAACTGACCAAAAGGGTAAAGATCTTGGGGATGACCTGCTTTGAAAAAGAATTGTTCTATAAATGGAATTCATGAGGGGAATTTCACTAATCAAAATATTTTAGTTCCAAATCCTCTAGGTAGAAGCAGGCAGCTAATTAAAAATAACATTTTGTAACTACTCCTCCTAGAATAACCCAGTAGTAAATTGTACTACTCTGGTGTCAGATAATTCATTGTTTTCCTCTAAAAGCTGTCACAAAAGTTTCAACATATCCCTTGAAAGTTACATTTACATTCATCTGCCAGTGACATTTATAATATGTGAATACCTTGAGCAAAATTTTTTGTCTGCCAACTTCATAATTTATCTTTTATAAACTTATTTTCACATCAGATATTCTAATGTATTTTGCCATTCATTACAGCATCATGTCCAGAGGCATGTTCTTTTCTGAATGTGTCAAGCATTTCAATAATATTATTTTAATCTGAACATACTATTCCAAAATATTATAATATGCAGGGTGTCAAGACCACTTCTGCCTCTAAATATCTTCACCTTCCATCATGGTCCAACAACTTTATCTTTCCAGATCTCATTGTGAGGCAGAAATCTGAAATAAATGCATTATCTGGAAGGACACCCTAGAAACTAACTTTTTTTACTTCAAATAGGAGCAAATTGGTTCTTTTTTTCGGTGTTCTAGACATTGCAATCAAAATACAGAAGTTGCCATATTCAACTACTTAATAATTAGCATTTGGAAATTGAAAACAATTTTAGTAGGGTATTTGCCAGAAAACCAGTATTTCATTGCTGGGATTGAGTTCCTTAAATATGAAGGGGTAAGGGAGGTGCAATGCTATGATAAGGAAGCATGTCTCTGAAAGTTAATGTCATATAGCAGGAGCCATTAATAAAAGCAATGTCAGATGTTTTATTTCTTTAGCCAAGCACACAGCCAGTTTCTAAAGTTTATTAAGTGCTGCAAAATGATTGCTAATTAATATTTGATCGTCCTTCATTATGGAATTATTTCAAATAAGAGATTTAGAAGACAATACATTTACAGAATCCAATATCTTTTCTTTTTTTTTTTTTTTTTTTTTTTAGAATCCAATATCTTATTTGAGATATTTCATTGTGCAACAGTTCAATGAAAAATGTCAATCACTGTAGTTTGAAAATCCTGTGAAATATTTTGATATTTGTTAAAACTTTAATTTCTCCTAACTTACAGTTTTATGTCTAATTCTAAACATATGATAAAGACAGTTATCTCAGGTTGTTACTTTGATTTGCCTTCCTCTTTATTGATTGCAGAATTTCTCTAAGAAGAGGTTGATTCTTACCTTTTTCCAGGTAGTATTATCTACACTTTTGGTTACAGTTGTGGTTTTAAGAGTTAACACTGACAGTCCAATTACATTACTCAATTCCTAGGATCAATGTGATAGATTCAGGATTGAGCACATTACTCAAGTGGAGTCAACCAAGGGCTTGTGAAAGATTTGAGCATTTCAAAGCTATTGGGAAAGACTCAGACTTGCTTTAGGTATAACTAACCTCCTGGAAAATAAACCTGCAGTTAAAAGAATATTTAAATTAAAAAAAATCTTATTTAAATATTTCTTATTTTCTTAATTTTTAAAAATATTTCTTTTAAATATATTTGTATTATTACTACAATAAGAAAATATATATTAATAGTAGTACATACCAATAAAAAATGCTCTTTAAGCCATTTTTAAGTGTACAATTATGTTACAATCACTGTATTATAAACTATCCTCTGCTATCTAGTTCCTAAGTGTTTTAATCATCCAAAGAGAAACTTCATGATCATTAGACAATAACTTTCCATTCTCACCTCATGACAATCCCTATGATTCTTTAATATACTTTTTGTTTATAATATATACACTATATTTTTAAAATTAATTCTTCTATTGATGGATTTGAGTTGTTTGCACCATTTTGCTGTTGTGCCATGGTGTTTATTAGCTGCTTAAGCAACAAACAAACTTGTTTTCACAGCTCTGATAACATTTGAAATCCCACCAACAACAATATTTATGTTCATAGTTTTTGTATCTCCTTCATGAGTTGACCATTTTATCATTCTATAAGATCCTCTTTGTTTCTTGACATAGGTTTTAACTTAAAGTTTATTTCCTTTAATATTAATAGGGTCATTTTAGCTCTTTTTTGTTTACTGTTCACATAGTGTATTTTTCCAAACTTTCACTTACTATTTCCTTCTCTGATAGTCTCCATATAGTTGGATTTTGTTTTTGTATCCAGTTCTTCAATTTCTGTCTTTCGATTGTTGTACTTGCGTATACAGTGTTGTAAAATGTTACCATAATAAAAATTTAAAATAATATGCTATTAGTTCTAGGTCAGTGGTTATGAAGCTATAAATTCAATAATTATTGGTGGGGTTTGTAGAAAATTAATGTAAATATGACAGTATCCAACAAAATAACTATGATTAATAAAGAAGGACTTACTCTTGCTATTTTGCTATTTATTTTCTGTATGTCCCATACCTTTTTGTCCCTTGATTTCTTCATTGTTACCTTCTTAGTGTTCAGTTGAATTTTTTTATAATGAATTATTTTTTTCCCTTCTCATTTTTTTGTTTATGGTTTCAGATTTTTTTTTTGTGGTTATGTGGAGATTACATTTAGTGTCCTAAAAGAATAACATGTAGTTCAAAATGATGCCAACTGAACTTTACTAGAATATAAAACTCTCCCTTTATAGAGCTCAGTTTTGCCCCTACAATATTTAGGATGTCATTGTCACAAATTATATCTTTATCTATTGTGTGTATAATAACAGATTTTTATATATATTTGTCTTTTAAATCCTCTAGGAAATATACAGATTTATAAATGCAATAATAGGGAACTACATTTAGGTCCATGCATTTGCCTTACAGAAGGTCTTTATTTTTTCATATAGCTTAGAGTTACTGTCTTAGTATCTTTTCATTTCAACATGAAGGGCTCCCTTTAGCATTTCCTTTAGGGCAAGTCTTGTGGTAGCAAACTCCTTTACTTTTGTTTATCTGAGAATATGTTAATTTCTCCATCTTTTTTTAAAGATTTATTTATTTATGCATACAAGATCTAGGGTACAGGCCAGAGGTGTAGGGTGCCGCGGACCAGCACAGCAGTAGACGATGAGGCCGTCTCAGGGTTGAGAGACTGCGCAGGGTGGTCAGGGATTCGGTTAAAGAAATGACAAACAGACACACTTCAAGAGTGAAAATCTGAGTGTAATTTTATTTGAGTTGGTGACCAGTATATATATGTTTTCTAAAAGCATAGGAATGGCGAACATCAGTGAAGAAATCAGCTTGCTTATAGATTTAGCTTATCATTGACAGGGCAGTGATTTACATCTGGACCCAGGCGCATTCCTAAGTAGTTAGGCTATTAATTTTTCTTTTTGTTTTATATGATTACTTTTTGTTTTAACTACTCACTATTACTATTAATTAACACAGGTGAATTTTACTTTTCACAATGTAATATTTTTATCATTTAGATTAATACTAACAAGGCTAAGTATACAACAGAGAAATTATTAAGCTAGCAGTTCTATTAATACACAGAGTTTAGTAACGTTTCATTTGAATCAGCCTAGTTATTAGATTTTGTATGTTCTTTTTTAATCGGCAAACCAATGACCTTTTAAACAGAGAAAGAGAAAAGATTTTAGAGAGACAGTTGTATTAGAATAAAGTTTGTGGGTCTAGAGAAGGTGAGATAAGTTTCCGAGCGGACAGCGTTCCTGTAGTGGCTTCTGGTGGTCGTTATCTTTCAACAGGCTTCCGTCTTATCTATGTCTTCAGGCGGTTTTTTGCTGTTCTCCTCCTGCGCGCTGGTTGCCCAGCCGGACCTAGGGATTCCTAGAGGTCACTGCAGGAGGAGGTGCAGCAAGTATATCTTCAGGGGGTTTTGCTGTTCTCCGCCTGCGCGCTGGTTGCCCAGCCGGACCTAGGGACCGTGGCGCAAGCCATTAGCCCTAAGGGTCACTGCAGGGGGAGGTGCAGCAGGTCCTCCTTTGTTTTTTTTAAAACGGAGTTGGTAGGCGTACATGTCACGTTGAAGGCGGTAGATCGACCTGTGAAGTGAGCGGACACAGAGGGGAGTTAAAAGACAAAGGAGAAGGACAAGTAGGGAAAGAGCAATGAAGGAAAGAACAAGATGATACCAGTGAGTAGGAGTCAAAGATTGGAGAGTAGAAGCTAGAGAATGGGCAAAGGAAGAGACTGAAGTATCCAGATGAGATTTACTGACAGCAGAGATTTCAGATTGGAGAGACGAGAGGTCATGAGAAAGGTCATTGTTACGCCAGATACCCAATAGGTGATGTTTGGTAAGATTCCAATGTAAGGAAGAGTTATAACGCAGAGGCGTAACGCAAATGAAACGAAACTGAGCATGGCATCGAGTAGACAGTTGTTTGAGGAGTTGAACCTCATCGCCAATAGCAATAACAATTTCTTCCAGAGCATTTAACTTTTTTCCAACTTGTAGTCAATGTCCCGCTGTGTAGAGAGCGCCATGGACACATTTTTGGTAAGGTCATTCACAAAAGAAGCTGTCTTAGCTTCCTGAATTAAAGCAACAGAGGAAGCAGCTAAAGAGGTAACTAAGGAAATTAATGCAGCAATACCAAGAATAAGAGCAACAATAAAACGTTTAGGACGAAGAAGAGCATGCACCTCATCCAAGATTTGCATGGCAGTATTATCATACCAAGGCATATCATGTAAATCAACAGGTAACATAACATAGGGGGGTCTTTTGAGCAAGACCACCACAGGATATAGACGAGCAAGAGAGGGGGTAATACAATTAGTAACCACACAACCGGAACATTGGACAGAATAAGAGTTCCCACGGGATTGGATACGTGTGGATGAAGCATTTCCCAGGAGCAGAGCAAAGGGGTATCCAACGCAGGCACGCACTGGGATCTTAGCGGTGTCCTGTCCAGGTTGTTTGAAGTGTACATCATCAAAGGCAGTGAAAAGACGAAAGAGTTCAGGCTTCATGACAGAGCTTTCTGTCCAGGGAACCGGGTTATTCAGTCCTGCCAATGGAGGCAAGCTTCCTCATCATTTTCAGAGGTCTCTGGAACCCTACGAACAAAGCAGTAGTTTCTCCACATTTTAGTTTAGCTCTATGTTACTCCCTGGAAGAATTGTACTCAAAGCCACACAAAAGGTTAGCTCTGCTAGAAAAAGAAAAAAAATATATATATATATAACATTGCTGTAGAGTCTGGTCAGTCAAAACAAGAAAATTTTGTTGAATCAAGGCAAAACGTAAAAACATTTTCAATGTTATGTCAAACAAAACAGTAAAAATCAGGTGTATTTTCAACAGTCTATACAGTTCTTTGTAGAAAATTTTTACTCTCAAAAGTTTATCATTTTGAATCAATTGAGGCCTTTTTTTCTTATTTTGTGTAGAAACAAGTCCTGCAGACATTAAACCATTGAGGTATATAATATTGCAGGGCAACAATAATTATTGACAATTTACATATATATTAGGTATTGAAAGATTTTGTTTTAGAAAACCAATGTTAACATTTTTGTACATGCCAAAGTTTTACAATTTTCCCAAGTGACAATGCTTCCCTTCCAGTTTTACTTTACTAGGTAAACCAAATCGAACAAATTTATCTAACGGCTTTTCCCAGAGGAAAGGGAGAAAACTTGTGGAGTGTCTCAGGAGCTCTACTGAGGTTCCACAAAATTTCCTTGCATCAGCCAAATGACAGGCTACCAAATTTGTACTTGAATTTAGATTTCCGGGAAGCTTTGCCATAAATATTAGAAAAACAACAGAAACAACAATATTAAATTTCTATGAAGATACTGGCTTAGTTTAGTATTACAGTGTTGACAATTTTACTGAAATGGCCTGTGTGGCCACATGAAAGCAAGCTTTAGTATTAATTAATCTTTTTATTATGTGAATAAATTGATTAAATAATGCAATACAGTCAAATTTCCAACACATATCATTGTTTCTTTTCAAACCCATTATTTGCAGGTTTTATAAATCAAGGCAAATAAAATTCACTTCCCCTCAAACCTTCTACAACTTACTACATACCCTCAATTTTAGCTTTTTCTCTATTCTTCCACATTCTGGCACAACCAGATATTTTAATTTTAAGACAAAACTACTTTCCCTTTTCTTTTTATTTTACTTACTATCAGTTATCAATTGCTCTCCCTCTTTTCTTCAGACACCACTAAAACTTTCAACAAATCATGATGTTGGTTTTCTTTCAGTATTCCAGAACACAAGGAGGTGCTTTGTGTGTTCACCACCCCAAAATGCTACTTAAAACATTGCAGATTTTTAAAATTGACTTAAAAACAGTATAGCTTGGTTTTAATATGACAAAAATTTACATATATAAGTATATATATATATATATATATTTCTAGTTAAGGAAAGAATACTTTAAAGATACATTTACACAGTAGATTATTAATATTTAACACTATAACTTTAAGGATATATGCTTTGAATTATATCATAAGATTTGAACTAGCTCTTGTATATTAAAAATTTGGATTATGATCTCAAAATTTGTTTTTATTAGAACTTATATAGGCGCCGTTTATAACTAGTCCTCCGGAGGTAAAAAACAAAACAAACACAAAGAAAGACAAACAGATACAGAGATTTTTTTTTTTTTTTTAATATACATTTAAAATTTTGGCCATGTGCATATATTTTGAAACACAATTATTTTACCAATATGTATGAAGATACTGAGGTTTTTAATGAGTTAACAGTTAAAATCTGTACACAGAATAAGTGTTTAATTTTAATTATTACCAAAGACTTTGGGCTGGAGACCACAGCAGTCATGGCAGTTTTTACTAATTATTTTTGATAAGAAAATATTTTTGGAGTTTACATTTTTAAGAAATGATTTTTTGGCTTTAGGTTGTTAACACATTATCTCACTGGGAACGGTCATATTTTAAAACATAAAAGAACACTGTTATCTTGAAAACAGGAGAAGAGATAAATTTTTACAGTCTGCCTGTAAAATTTGAGGTTTAGAATTTAGCTCAAAAATGTCTGTATTATTACTTTATGTTTTACCAGGTTAGTTTGTTTTAACAAGAACTTAATTTTTTACAGGTCCAATAAATAAAATTAAAAGCTTTTATTTAACCAATAAGCATTTTGTATAGTTTGTTAGCACGTCAAAAGTAACTCAGCAGTTTTTGCCTAAGACAATTTAGACTTTAAAATCAGAGAAACACAGGGAAATGGAACTTTTTTTTTTTTTTTTTTTTTTTTTAGAATGAACCAAAATAGTTATTTAAGGTGGATGGATAATAGAAAAGTTTAGTCCTTCACAGCAGGAAGGTAGTAGAGACCTGTCAGTGATCCCAACACTGGAGAAAAAGTCCAGGCAGCTGCTTGTTGAGATCAAGGGCAGCCTCCACCAGCCCACTGCAGTGGGTTTATACTATTTTAATAAAAACCTTTTAGTCATATTATAGTCATATAGTCTCATACACTCATATTTAACCATTTTTTATCACTTTAACAATTGTGAATGAACTTTGAATACTATTATTTATAAATGCCTTATTTATTTATTTATTTATTTATTTTTAAAGAAACAAATGGCAAAACTTCACCAGGGGGAACCTAGCCTCTTCCCCAAATAATTAACAGGAAAAGATTGGAGCTTTTTTTTTTTTTTTTTTCCATTTAAGATCATGTCACATTATCTCTTATTTGTTTTTGAGTTTTTATTTTTATCTCAACAATTTTAGTCAAGTCCGAGCTGGAAATTTGGGCTGGATTTTGGAATGGTTTTATAATTGGGAGTCAGATTGACTTTTGGCTTTTGAAAAACAATTTAACTATTTCAAGAATCCTGATCACTTTCTCTAATACTGCAGGCTATTTTCTCTTTTACCTTTTGTTTTGCATCTTTCATTTTGCCTCCAGCCAGGCAAAAAAAAAAACGACCTATCTGTTTAGGTAATTGTTCTGTTGATATGGGGCTGTCAGCTGAGTCCTCTTTGATGTTATTTAGGGATACAGACAGCCATAAGTTTTTGAATTTTTTTTTTTTTTTTCAGGTCTAATTAGTTCTTTACAGAGGGAATTAGCATTTTTCCATGCAAGTTGTTTAAACAACAAATGTTGTACTCTGGAAGATGGAAGAACCTTATCCAGAGCATTTTTTAATCTGGCCACAAAATCCTGGTACATTTCATCCTGGCATTGGTGTATATCAGTAAGGTTAGCAGGCTTATGTTCAGGTGAAGGAAGATTTTTCCAGTCAACTTATTAATTTTGACTAAGACATCTTTTGGTAGGGCAGTCTGTCTGCGTACCTCAGTATATTTGTCTGTTCCCATGAACATAGAAAGGGAAATTTTCTCAGCCTTGACCTCATCATCATATTTTTTAAAGAAGGCATGTACTTGGTCCTCATATTCCATGCGAAATAATACATACATTCCCGAGGGAAGTACAGCCTTGGCAAGATTATGCCAATCATAAGGGGTCATCCAAGTGGCCGATAGCATGTCAATAATTTGATAAGTATAAGGGGAGTTATGACCTGTTGTCTGAACAGCTAACTGTAATTCTTTTAGGGTTTTTATAGGGATGGCCTCCCATGCAGGGCCATCGTCATCAGCACGAGTCAAAGTCGGAGGTCCGGCCACGGGAAAGGCAAATGAAAAATCTCCCGTCTTACTGGCCTCCCTTGCTGATCCTAGAATGCCACCCAGCGGCCCTCGATGGGCCTTGATATGATTAGGATTATTATCTAATGCAATTGTAGGTTTGGTAACAACTGGAAAAAGGTTAGCGGTTGGGCGGGAGGGTTTATCATTTTTGAAAGTCAATTTATCTAGCATTTCAGTATATTCATGATCATTAAACTCATCCTCTGACTGGGAAAGGGATTCCTTCAATACGGGAGCAGAGGCTTGAGCGAATAATGACGTGTTTAGATCATTATTGTTTTTAGGATTATCCTGAACTTCATCCTGTTGGCCTTCCCACAATTCTGCGTCAGTGGCATCAACCAGCAGATCTTTAACTTGTACCCACAAAGACAAAGCCTGTTTCGGAACCTGAGACGGTCCATGAAGGCCATAAAACTCTCTCACTTCTTTTTCTACTTTCTTCCAAGTTTCCAGTGACAGACTGCCTTCTTCTGGAAACCACGGGCATACCCGTAATATGAATTCATAAAGTTGCAGTAGAGCTTTTTTATTTACCTTAATACCTCGTGTTTCAATCATATTTTTTAATATAGATAGAAAAAGATCTCTATTTTTGGTCTGCTGTTGACCCATGGTCTCGTGGTGCTTTCGTTCACTCAAGCAGAGATTTCTTTCAACTGTGCTGTCCGGCCCGTGTCCCTCGCGGGAACTTGCGGAGGCGTCTTAGCTAAGGTCTGTCCGTATAAGTCCCGGACCAGGCTACTCCGAAGAGCAGATGACCGTTATGCCATATGACTTCCTCCACGGGAATCGCGGGTGCAGCCCACTCAGACTCCGTAGCTACGAGGCCGTGGAGCCGTATTCATGCACTCTCACACACACACAGCACCACGAGCATTCACTCTTAGAAAAACTTCTCACTATTTCAAACTGATCACCCTTTATCAGCAAGCTCCGGACGCTTCAGTGAGGATCCTATCCCTGACTTTTAAAAGAGGGTATTTTTAAGGGAATCACATTCACACTCACACACAAGAAGGGAGATAGCTTACCCAAGCGCAATCTCTTCGTTACTCACCTCTCCTTTGGGTGGAAAAACTCAGCAATATTTGAATTCGGGCCCCACGTTCAGGCGCCACCTGCCGCGGACCAGCACAGCAGTAGACGATGAGGCCGTCTCAGGGTTGAGAGACTGCGCAGGGTGGTCAGGGATTCGGTTAAAGAAATGACAAACAGACACACTTCAAGAGTGAAAATCTGAGTGTAATTTTATTTGAGTTGGTGACCAGTATATATATGTTTTCTAAAAGCATAGGAATGGCGAACATCAGTGAAGAAATCAGCTTGCTTATAGGTTTAGCTTATCATTGACAGGGCAGTGATTTACATCTGGACCCAGGCGCATTCCTAAGTAGTTAGGCTATTAAATTTTCTTTTTGTTTTATATGATTACTTTTTGTTTTAACTACTCACTATTACTATTAATTAACACAGGTGAATTTTACTTTTCACAATGTAATATTTTTATCATTTAGATTAATACTAACAAGGCTAAGTATACAACAGAGAAATTATTAAGCTAGCAGTTCTATTAATACACAGAGTTTAGTAACGTTTCATTTGAATCAGCCTAGTTATTAGATTTTGTATGTTCTTTTTTAATCGGCAAACCAATGACCTTTTAAACAGAGAAAGAGAAAAGATTTTAGAGAGACAGTTGTATTAGAATAAAGTTTGTGGGTCTAGAGAAGGTGAGATAAGTTTCCGAGCGGACAGCATTCCTGTAGTGGCTTCTGGTGGTCGTTATCTTTCAACAGGCTTCCGTCTTATCTATGTCTTCAGGCGGTTTTTTGCTGTTCTCCTCCTGCGCGCTGGTTGCCCAGCCGGACCTAGGGATTCCTAGAGGTCACTGCAGGAGGAGGTGCAGCAAGTATATCTTCAGGGGGTTTTGCTGTTCTCCGCCTGCGCGCTGGTTGCCCAGCCGGACCTAGGGACCGTGGCGCAAGCCATTAGCCCTAAGGGTCACTGCAGGGGGAGGTGCAGCAGTAGGGGGTGAGTGGAT